CCAAAACAAAGCTTGTTGGTTCAACACAGCGTAACAACACATCTCGTTGCTCATATTTTTTCTGCGCACCGGTCATTACTAAATAAAACCTATTACTATAAGCTAAGCTTGTTGAATACCGAATAATGCTCAGGCGTACGCAATCGATACTTAACCCCGTTATTATTGTTACCCACACGATGTTTCAATCCCGGTTTTCCGGTTAACCGAAGAAATCAAATATTTACGATATTTTATTACATTTTAAATCCTCTCGGCTACAGCCACCTCGCGCTTCATTTAATTAATCCGATAGACCGGCCGTAATATTCCATTCGTAGTAATCTCTCATGCAAAGATTTTACAAAAGAACTTAAAATAAATAACAGTAACATTTTTAATGATGACGGTTTCTGTGTGGAACTTGGCACAATTTTACACTCTGCAAGTCTACGACCTACACTACCGTTGGCATAATTAAAATTGGACCGAGTGTCAAGCATCCATTCTTCAGAATGAAAGAAAAATTTTGGGAAAATTCCTATTGTTTTACGTATATTTTGCCTTATCATTCTGCTAAAGGTATCGTAAACGCGTTGCTAAAACACAACTGATATGCGGACATAGTTCAACTATTCATTCATTATATCGTAGTTGCATACCATTCCATCCGGGCCATACAAATATTTGTCTAATGCTGAAATGGATGTTGCGGCCTATTACTACTGCATTTCTACAATCGCTCTATTAACTACTTACGATAATAGAGCTTTGTAATTTTACTCTCCAATATACCTATGTAGATGAAGAACATTTTACAGTCATTTGTGATTAGTTTTGTATGTGTTCAGAGATACTAATTGTGTAACTTAGTGACAATCCACTCCACTACATAAACAATAATAATTCCAACATTTATGGGATGCATGTACCATAATTATAAACCGCATGAAAGCTCGTATTAGGGATTATGATCAGAGAGCCCAGTGCACATTGTTTACAAAAATATTTTAATCCCAACAAACTGTTAACTTTTAATCAAACTGAAAATGTTAATAACATTTTAACTATCTGCGGCCTCCATAGAGGTAATTATTCAATCTACAGACAGATAATTAAACGCGTTAACATAAACAACCCATAATGCCCTTATTATGTATGCGTCCGTAGCCGCCCGAACTCTCTGCGACTAAGTACATAGTACAAGTATCCGTTTACGTAATTAAATTGCAGTGCTGTATAGCTGCTATACTACGTATGTAATCTATGCCTATGTATATATGTATATAAAAATGAGTTCCATTTTTTTCTTGGTCACGGCATCACGCGTAAATGGTTGGACCGATGTCACTAATTCTTTTTTGTTGAATAGGAGGAGGTTCTTAAGACAGAAAAAATCCTACGGGAACGGGAGACAACGGGACTGCGCGTACGAAGTCGCGGGCAGAAGCTAGTATAAGAATATAAATAAATCTTGTGAAACATAACAATAAATTATTCCAATTGTTTCTCTCTTAGTTGAAAATGTCTATCACAAGACTTTTATCTTTGCTTCAAAGTGTTCTTAAATAAAATAAAAGAACATGATTAGTTTTTATACATTACCATTTTTTTCATGAATTCAAGGAAATGACGAAACTTACCTAGCGTACAAAATATTCGATGCCGGAGACAGAAGTTTTCGAATTTCCTCCCTATGTTTCGCTGTCATTTTTCTTTTAGGTTTAACATCAGTTCAGTGCGTCTAGGCAGAACTTACGACCCTTTAAAAATTACATTGTTATCGTTATACATACTACAAATAATAATAGATATACCTCTAATATTATAAAGTTAACCTCTAAACGTATAAGACAATAGAAAAGTTAACTCATTTAATTAAACTACAAATGGAACAAATTCGCCGACACATTGTACAGCTTTCGTATCTACCTTCACAAGAACCAGATCTCAACACTTCTTAATAAAAAGGTGTCGTGGCAACGGAATCGGAGGAGACGTAAACTGTCTTACAAATCAGGCGGGCCTATTCTTGGTCTTTGTCGTGTTTTCAATTTCACCCGTAGTACGCCTATTGATTTGTACTGATTTACATTTTACCTTACATTCCGTATACATATCGACCATCGGAAATTACTTACCTTCACCTTTCCGCGAAATAAGCAGGTTCACCTCAAACCATAACCGTAAAGGTACAGATAACTTACGTAATAACTATTATAAATGTAAATGTTTGTTTTTGTACTATCTACTCATCTGTCTAATAATAGGTAGTATCTAAATAATTTTATCGATTACTTGTAAATTACCTATATTATATAGTTTCGGACATAGCCTATACAACCATACATCTCCACACACCAGCAATTAATTCGTTGTTAAAATATCATTAGGTAGTGTAAACAGGAATGAAGTTAAAAGATTTATAAACACGTAACCATTATTTGCGCAATTAAAATAATATACCCGTTTTACGTATTTAATCGTTAACTAATTGCTGGAGGTTTAAACTTATATTTTTGCAATTCTCGCCGCAAATAGGTCACAGACGAAACGTCGCCAGTTTTAGCTGTTCTTACAGTTATTACTAACAAACTCATGAAACGGCAAAACGTGAAGTTCTTAGTAAATGTACGCAAGACAAATTTCGCAAAATGATTCTGATAAGTGATTAAAAGTTCACGAAGATTTGTTATCTATGAAAGCAAAACTTAGAATGAGGACACAAGTAGAAAGTTCATAAAATATCATAAAAAAATATACAAGCAAAGGTTTCTAGTAACTGTTATTTAAGTTGGGCGCCCATACGGTTGAAGTAACAAGCAGCTTCAAGGGGAGCCCGCGGCTTAGGGTCTGTAAGTAACGACATATGTAACCGTTCAAATAAATGATCTTCGAATTCTACTCTGGCTTCGAAATAACTGTTCTCTTAGAAAAATGTAGTTCTTATTTTTTGAAAACATCACCGCTGCCTCCGGCTGTTCTTAATTATCCGGTCCTCTGAATAACGAATGGAAACATTGTGCCGCCTCGATGTGTTAATATAATACAATAGACAATTTCTTCTCATTTAATAAGAAGGATTTGCACCGGGTCATATTTCTCCCGCTAAAACATAGGGGCCTCTTATCCTACACTGTCAATTCCAAGATAAATAAAAAGCTACCTAAGTGCAATTTTAATTGTAAGTACTATATAATCGTCGCAATACCTAAAATTGGTATAGAAACCAGTTCTTTATTTTATTTACATAAAACATCTAATTATTATAAAGGCTTAGAGGTATCAATTAAAACATACTCTTTTAAATTAAAAATGAACCCATAAGACCCAAGTTAATGAAACATAATATTGATACGAGAATGCTTGTATTTGAAATTATGACCCGCGTTTTTCTCCTTTCATTACGGAGTAAAACAGTAGCAACAATGTAATAAAACGAAGTGCACTGAAAGAATCTAATTTGGCTTGTGAACAATATGCCTTCAACAGACAAGTAGAAATGCAATAAGTATTAATAAACGAGACCGTATCAGTCTATTTAAGTCCCAGTAGGAGAAACTGATCCGATTGTTTCTGTATACTGTGTTCAGTTTCTATTGGGAATTTGAAAACTACGTCATCCGATATACTGAGAATTGCTATTTACCTGACTGTACCAACCAATTATTATATTCCTTAAATAAAAGTTTCTACTGCGTCACATAGGCAAAGTTGGTTATTTCAAAACACTTCACATTATTTTTATACGAGTACTCCTACTCATGAACACGCGCGACACAAAAAGCGTTGGCGAAAAGCGACGTTTTTTCTTTATAAAGAAAATGTTATAAAGTAAAAACTATTAACGTTAAGCTAATAATTAATTTAACGTCCGTGCGTTACTGAATGTAGAAAATATAACATAGAAGACAAAGCAGTAATGTTTTAGTTCAGATAAAATAATAATACATTCTCCAAAGGCATTATTCTGTGCACTGTGTGCTGTCTGTGGCTGTCTGACCACAATAATATGACGTCTCCTCTTAATCCTTCTGTTTCGCTGGCAGCTCTAATTATGCAATGGCAAGAAACTTTGCAATAATGTCATTTCAAATATTAAATTATTTGTTTAAACTATTACCTGCTCACAAAGTTAATTATGAGCTTGTCAAAGCTTTTTCTTCACAAAGGGAATGTATAAAACAATGGGAGGTATTGAGTCCTTTATTCGATTCGACCGAGTGTCCTGCGTTTATCTGTCGTCGCACACTCGCATGTGAAGCATGCCGATAGTGGTATGGGAAACAATGGCATTTGTGCCATATTGTGATAGAAGTATGCCACTCGAAAATGCCGCTAAAAGCCTGCTTGCGACCTGCATCGCGAACATACGTACCATTGTTAACAAGGCGACTTCGCGAATACTGCATTGCGATTTCGTAACAATAAGCTTCACCCTAACAATCAAAGTACCTAGTTGTTATCGTTGAGCGAATTCAATTTGTTGTAAGTTCCATTAATAATAAATGATGCGTCAATTATTATTAAACCAACCTATTATTTTATATAACAACAACATTCAGTACAATCATCAAACTCTCCAATTAGTATGTTAACAATAAATATGTTATTGAAAGAAAATCAATAATTAATCTTAATTAGCTTTATCTAACTGTGAACTTAATTCAAAACATATACGTACTGTTCTACCATACAGAAGCCTTAGTACGAGTTTGATTTACGTTTAAAGTATTCGAAACGAGTACGCGTTCGGCACTCTGATTGGCCGGCACTAATGAAGCAACCAATCACAGCGCCGAACGCGTACTCGGTACGATTACTTTAAACGTAAAACAAACTCGTACTAAGGCCTCAGTTTACTTTGATTTAACTGCAACACTATTTGACGCAAATAACACTGGCAAACAGCATGTAATGCAGTATTTTTATGGTACAAATAAATAAAGTTGCAAAGCTCAATTAAATTAAGGACTTGTGTGACTTTGATTTAAAGTCTAATTTGTTTTTTGTGTCCACAGATGTTTGCTTCCAACCGTTCTTCAACTTTGTGGACATGAGGGCGCTCTTAGAAAACTTCTGTGTGTACCACGTAAATGCGCCGGGACAAGAGGACGGGGCTCCGAGCCTACCTGAAGAGTGAGTACTTAACCTTAACCTTCATCTCCTGTTATAAAACATTTAATTTAAATGATGAAATAAAAACATTCCGTTTTATAAAAAGAGATGTTACGTTGTCTCTTTATGTAAGCGTTTAGTACGCACATTTCAGATAGATTATGTAACTTTAAATAAATCGGCGTCATTGTAAAGACCCAGTAGACAGCTTCTACCGTAGTTAACTTTATTGATGCCAGTCTGGCGCGATTAAGTTGCCCAACCCACAATACAGGGATCGATACGCCTGTAAAGTTGAGTGTCACTCACAAAACATTAAAATCTCACTTTGATAATGACTTTGTAACCCCTTTCACTCATAAATGTTTGTTTCTTATTACTATGTGAGTATTATAGATTGCGGTACAACAATGAAATTAATTTTAAAATAATTCATATCAGCCCTATTATAATTGGTTGTTCCCAGCTGTACTTTAAGTTTTATCGTAAAATAAATACTTTACACAGCCGAATGATAAATATTAAACAGCCAGGTTCAGTTAATGAAATGGCAATGACAAGAATCGATATAAAAAGTTGTGAGCATTCTAGCTGGTTCGCATTAATTCTATTGCGTTGACGCGGTTTACCCGACATCGGAATGTGCTACACATTGCAGGCTGCTTTGTAATACACATAATATTACCATTCCTTATTTACAGGATTTTCTTCTCCCATGACAATGTGAAAAAAAATGTGTTAACGTATAGGTAATACAGTAATTTAATTTCAAGCAGCCTACCTTACTCATTACTGCCAAATGATTTTATAACTATGTTTTTATAATAACTATCGTGAGACATACTAAATTAACTAAAAATCGCGGGTTACTTCTGTGAATATACTGTAGTAGGCTGCGCGACCATGAGGAAGAACCCCTCTGTGGTTCGAAACTAGTAGAGCTTTTCTCAGTATATTCACACGAGTAACCCACGATTTTTAGTTAGTTGATTTTAAAACTATCAACATAGTTAGTAGAGTACTTATAAATACAGGGAGGTAATGAAGCAGCAAAAGTCCACTCACATGTAAAGAGTTGCAATTTTCCCGTCCCTATTATTATCGACTGTGCAGTTTAATTGAATGACTTCGACCTCTGACGCAGATTTCCATGTTTATTCGAAATCGTATTTTGTATTTACTTCATTCGTTTTAACGAACCTTTCGTGTGATTGATGATCATTTGCTTTATTAAGCCTTTTTTCAAAAACAACATATAGTCATAGTCAATAATAATTTAACAGGCAGGTTTCGTATTAATATTGACATGAAATTCATCAAGACAAATCTTACTGTGAATTGCCCTACTGGCGGATCTACAGGGCAAAATAAATTTTAAATCAATTCCGCAACGTGTAATGTATTCAATTTATTATATGAGGGAGATGTTATGAGCCGTGACAGTCAGTAACGGCAATGAGTAACACTCGAGCACAACTCACTTAGCACGTCCGACATGTATCTACTAATGCAATTTAAACTACGTTCCTTCGAGATGCAAGCGCTAACTTGTCAGAGGTATATTTGATTTGATTACCTATTCTAGTTGCAGCCGTGCGTCGCCACCATCGCTTAAAATAGTTTATGAAAGTTTGGTGTTTGCACCAAAGTTCTTAGACCATTTTAAGTGGTAATATCACGATCGGGCGAAGAGTTGAGGACGTGCCTTCATCAAACGAGCTTGCATTTGCAGATATAATTTGCGCTATATCTTTTCCCGACGCCCATTTGTATCGGAAGTATTCTTACCACATTTAATATTTACGTATGATTTTTATAACCACTTGCCAATAAAATGGAAATGAAAAATCCGTTATCAAATAAAACCCATATCCGCCATCAAGTTCTTATTTGCTCTTGGATTCAGTACAAAAATTGGAACTGTATGGAGAGTTTGCACACAAATCTAACCAGAAAAATTGGGGCATCCGTAGCGTTTACATTGATAGATTGCAGGATAGTGATTGAACATGTAACACAAACTGTTTCTGCAAACTGCATACCTTATTGACATTCTGATTTCTCATTCATTAGTGCTCATTCACTAGCTTCTACTTTGATTTTCAAATAATAATTCATTTCCTAACTTTGCAATGAGATTACTGAATCTAATTGCAAAGTTGTATAGTGACAAATACAGATTAAATGCGGATACTTTTCCTTCCTTATCTTTTCTCAAGCTACTAGCAGTCGGTACCATAAAATAAAAACACTTAAATTTCTTAAACTTAAAGCATAAACTACTCTGGCAACAAGGAAAAAAATATTCATTACAATTGTTAGAAGCTCATCCTTTTACTCTTCGCTCAAACAATAGCCCGTCTAGTCAAACGGTATAAGGTTTCTAAAGTACCGAGCCCGGCTTGTGTTGCAAGAAAGATACAAACGATACGACACTTTGTACAAGAATACAAACAATATCGCTGCACTTTAAGATAAAAGTACGATAATGTATTAGAAATATCCATTCTATGCTTGTAGTTTTGAAATATCGGCCGTGACTGAGTGCGCGTGGTCAGTTTGCCTCTAACAGTTTCGTGTTGATATCCATCACCAGTCACTACTTAATGATTAATGAACTGAACCAAACTTCCAAACTATTTGGGTGTAGCCGATACTAAAATTACGTAACTATCTCTAATTATTCACGTCGGATACATTTTAGTTCTCCTAACTGCTGACTGTATTCTATCCATCTTTAAATTGACAATGGGAATAGTTGATGTACTCTTTATACGAACCTACGGGGTTGAAGATTAAGTTGTCTTATATGTCCTTTAAGAGGTCAGAGGCCTTAGTACGAGTTTGTTTTACGTTTACAGTAATCGTAACGAGTAACGCGTTCGGTAATCTGATTGGTTGCTTCATTGGCGCGGGCCAATCAGAGTGCCGGACGCATACTCGTTTCGAATACTTTATACGTAAAACAAACTCGTACTAAGGCCTCTGAGTAGACATTAATTACTGACTGATTAACCTTACCAAAAATGTACTTCTTTTAAGTTTATTCGCCATTTATTCCAATAAAAATAAAACTTCACATTCATAGTTACCTATAATGGTTGACGATAACATAGTTTAATGTTATTATTATGAGCATGAATAAACATTATATCACTTACTCAGCCATGTACTCACATAGCATCCTTTACTTATGCTACACTCACAATACATTCAAATATCATCAATCACTCTCACTACTTACCTACATGGTATAATAAAATTATTAAGATTTCTGAGTATTGTGGCATTCTGAGTATTTTATTTTGTAAAACTAAACATTACTGAAATCTGTAAACAAATCATATTACAAGTATTTCCTTTACAAGCAATTATATTTAAATAACTTATGCCCACTTCTCCTATTCCCGAAGGATTCTTTTTGCCTGTCATAAGAACTTTCTCCTGACAATAACAAACACAACAAAAAAAGTCAAACGGTCCAGCCGCCCACGCGTGATAGCGTGACCAAGGGACACAGGGATTCATTTTTATACAATAATATATAGAATGAATATAGGTGTCGTAATTTAAAAATGCATAACAGTCATAATTTTCCACTTTGCATCGTTTAAATTGAAATGATAAGAAGTGAAAATGAAATGCGACTCAAAAATTGAGGTAAAACAGAATAGGTTAAGTTTCACGCTGCGGCAGCGGCAACGATCTTAAGCGTGTTTTTTTTTATTTGGCTGGCAGTGAAGCCGTGCAATGGCCTGGCGAACTGCTCGCGCTGCTATAATGAGCGTCGTGGAACGCAATAACTTTAAATACCCCGAGAATCCACGGCATTCTTCAGCCTTGGCACTCCATTGTAGAAAGGGCCTCGCATCCCCAGTGGAAAATGCTCAATGAGAACCTGTCTAGCGCCTGTCTCGTTTACCGTATAGAGGAATGTTCATCTCAGAGCCACCAAGCAACGGTCGGTATTGAAACCGAAGGATCTGAAATATTTTCAAAGTTATTAAAAAAAAAACTTTGCCGTATTCTAGGATTTTCGCCTGCGTCGTGGGTGCGTTTAGAAAGATACAATATCACATACACATGATACCCAGATCACGCAAAAAGTAACTCCGTGCGAACCCGCTACACGTTAAGCGGCAGTCGGCTGTCCAGCCACTGCGCCAACTGTGCAGTAAATTGCAGTGAATTGAAAAATAAATGTAACATTTAACATTATTTTTAAATTGATTGTTAAGATAACTGTGCCAAAGTAAAAATCCTTACCTTACTTACACGTGCAGCTGTAAAACACGCTTATATTTTAATTACTGTATTTATGCAAACACTATTCATAAGCCACCGCGCAGCGAAAGCCGTGACCTTTACAAGTGGTCTCATAGTTGACACACTGTAAGCATTTTCTGCGGTGTGAGTTTCATTTTCGTTATTTACTGGCTTATTTTTTAAAGTTGCAAGTTAAAAATAGAGGAAAATAAAAGAGTTTTTCGACAAATTGCCTCGGGCTGTCGTCTGATCGCTAGAGGGGCTCGACGCTGCGTAAAATGCAAACATTTTTCAGCCACATCGAGGGCGATGCCGCCATACCAACACGATATATGCATGTAAACAGATTAGATATTTTGATACAATCATTGACAGCACAGTAGTCTCTGGGTTACACTTACAATTTATTGAACTTTGTTTGACATAATTATTATTTACACAATGTGATACACCAATTTAACGACTACAAAAATCTACCCTAGTCTTAAGACTTAAAGTATATTTTAATAACCTAATTTGTAATGAAACTGAAAAATATAAGACACTATGTAATAAAACTGTAAACAACTGTAATTTAAACATTTTATCTCAACTGCTGCAGATAAAACAAACTAACCTGGCTAGTTGTTGATTCATCTTCCATTTGAATTACTATCTTAATTAAACTTAAATAAAAGTTATTATGCAAGTTTCATTCGTTACACACGCTTGAAAGTCTTCACCTCTTTCAGTGTGAAAATGAGCTACGAGCTGTATCGAGATAAAATGTTTCAATCTTAATTAACAGGCAAGAGTGAAGCTATGTTTCTTTAGAGAGTTGCCCATCCGATAGTTAACTGTCTAGATTATATTAATACTGACTGTCGATAACAGAGGAAAGATTTTTTCTCACTACGACTTTACCATCAATCCTTATTAACTAATGTGACTTACATGGCTCTCCATTTAGGCTCGATACGAGGTATACGAGGCACCAGTATGAACGTTCCACGACAACTAAATGGCAAAATCGATTATAAAGTGAACCACATATCGTGATAAAACGAACATTTGTCGTGTTCTTTTCTAAACTGTTTTTATTTTCTTTCTTTGAACTAAAAGGCCAATTTCCTAACCAATTTACTCAAACCTTTGATTGACATCAAAATAGAAATGGCTAGGCTAAGCAGTGTTCTGCCCGCATGAAAGTTGTGAAGTGGTCAAAAGCAAACAGGGTTTATTCGCTAAGCCACCGGCACACAATTCTCTTTTGTCGTGGACCCAACGAGTGAATTCGCGTTTGCACATAAACTTCATTCCCAAACTAGACAGTGACATGCGGGAAATGACAATAAACTGTGCATTTCGAATTTCCAAACAATGTTATTATAGTGGTGGTCTCCTCCTCCTTACTAATATTATGAATCGGAAAGTGAGTTTGTTTGTTTGTTCCGCTTTCACGCCGTAACCAATAAACCGATTGCTTTGAATTTTTACAGACGTAAAGTTAGAAGTCCGGATTAAATAATAGAGTACTTTTCATCCCGGCAAAATGTGACATTCCGAGAAACAAAAGTATTGGTATAGATGGCGCTGTATGTATTGGTATATGTCACATAGGCTACTTTTTATCCTTTTGTGACGCGAGCGAAGCCGCGGGTAAAAGCTAGTATTCTAATAAATAACAAACCAACATTTATACTGTAATCGTATTGAGCGCGTTGGGCGCTTTGATTAGTTGGTTCACTGAAGCCGGCCAATCAGAGGCCTTAGTACGAGTTTGATTTACGTTTAAAGTATTCGAAACGAGTACGCGTTCGGCACTCTGATTGGCCGGCACTAATGAAGCAACCAATCACAGCGCCGAACGCGTACTCGGTACGATTACTTTAAACGTAAAACAAACTCGTACTAAGGCCTCAGTTTACTTTGATTTAACTGCAACACTATTTGACGCAAATAACACTGGCAAACAGCATGTAATGCAGTATTTTTATGGTACAAATAAATAAAGTTGCAAAGCTCAATTAAATTAAGGACTTGTGTGACTTTGATTTAAAGTCTAATTTGTTTTTTGTGTCCACAGATGTTTGCTTCCAACCGTTCTTCAACTTTGTGGACATGAGGGCGCTCTTAGAAAACTTCTGTGTGTACCACGTAAATGCGCCGGGACAAGAGGACGGGGCTCCGAGCCTACCTGAAGAGTGAGTACTTAACCTTAACCTTCATCTCCTGTTATAAAACATTTAATTTAAATGATGAAATAAAAACATTCCGTTTTATAAAAAGAGATGTTACGTTGTCTCTTTATGTAAGCGTTTAGTACGCACATTTCAGATAGATTATGTAACTTTAAATAAATCGGCGTCATTGTAAAGACCCAGTAGACAGCTTCTACCGTAGTTAACTTTATTGATGCCAGTCTGGCGCGATTAAGTTGCCCAACCCACAATACAGGGATCGATACGCCTGTAAAGTTGAGTGTCACTCACAAAACATTAAAATCTCACTTTGATAATGACTTTGTAACCCCTTTCACTCATAAATGTTTGTTTCTTATTACTATGTGAGTATTATAGATTGCGGTACAACAATGAAATTAATTTTAAAATAATTCATATCAGCCCTATTATAATTGGTTGTTCCCAGCTGTACTTTAAGTTTTATCGTAAAATAAATACTTTACACAGCCGAATGATAAATATTAAACAGCCAGGTTCAGTTAATGAAATGGCAATGACAAGAATCGATATAAAAAGTTGTGAGCATTCTAGCTGGTTCGCATTAATTCTATTGCGTTGACGCGGTTTACCCGACATCGGAATGTGCTACACATTGCAGGCTGCTTTGTAATACACATAATATTACCATTCCTTATTTACAGGATTTTCTTCTCCCATGACAATGTGAAAAAAAATGTGTTAACGTATAGGTAATACAGTAATTTAATTTCAAGCAGCCTACCTTACTCATTACTGCCAAATGATTTTATAACTATGTTTTTATAATAACTATCGTGAGACATACTAAATTAACTAAAAATCGCGGGTTACTTCTGTGAATATACTGTAGTAGGCTGCGCGACCATGAGGAAGAACCCCTCTGTGGTTCGAAACTAGTAGAGCTTTTCTCAGTATATTCACACGAGTAACCCACGATTTTTAGTTAGTTGATTTTAAAACTATCAACATAGTTAGTAGAGTACTTATAAATACAGGGAGGTAATGAAGCAGCAAAAGTCCACTCACATGTAAAGAGTTGCAATTTTCCCGTCCCTATTATTATCGACTGTGCAGTTTAATTGAATGACTTCGACCTCTGACGCAGATTTCCATGTTTATTCGAAATCGTATTTTGTATTTACTTCATTCGTTTTAACGAACCTTTCGTGTGATTGATGATCATTTGCTTTATTAAGCCTTTTTTCAAAAACAACATATAGTCATAGTCAATAATAATTTAACAGGCAGGTTTCGTATTAATATTGACATGAAATTCATCAAGACAAATCTTACTGTGAATTGCCCTACTGGCGGATCTACAGGGCAAAATAAATTTTAAATCAATTCCGCAACGTGTAATGTATTCAATTTATTATATGAGGGAGATGTTATGAGCCGTGACAGTCAGTAACGGCAATGAGTAACACTCGAGCACAACTCACTTAGCACGTCCGACATGTATCTACTAATGCAATTTAAACTACGTTCCTTCGAGATGCAAGCGCTAACTTGTCAGAGGTATATTTGATTTGATTACCTATTCTAGTTGCAGCCGTGCGTCGCCACCATCGCTTAAAATAGTTTATGAAAGTTTGGTGTTTGCACCAAAGTTCTTAGACCATTTTAAGTGGTAATATCACGATCGGGCGAAGAGTTGAGGACGTGCCTTCATCAAACGAGCTTGCATTTGCAGATATAATTTGCGCTATATCTTTTCCCGACGCCCATTTGTATCGGAAGTATTCTTACCACATTTAATATTTACGTATGATTTTTATAACCACTTGCCAATAAAATGGAAATGAAAAATCCGTTATCAAATAAAACCCATATCCGCCATCAAGTTCTTATTTGCTCTTGGATTCAGTACAAAAATTGGAACTGTATGGAGAGTTTGCACACAAATCTAACCAGAAAAATTGGGGCATCCGTAGCGTTTACATTGATAGATTGCAGGATAGTGATTGAACATGTAACACAAACTGTTTCTGCAAACTGCATACCTTATTGACATTCTGATTTCTCATTCATTAGTGCTCATTCACTAGCTTCTACTTTGATTTTCAAATAATAATTCATTTCCTAACTTTGCAATGAGATTACTGAATCTAATTGCAAAGTTGTATAGTGACAAATACAGATTAAATGCGGATACTTTTCCTTCCTTATCTTTTCTCAAGCTACTAGCAGTCGGTACCATAAAATAAAAACACTTAAATTTCTTAAACTTAAAGCATAAACTACTCTGGCAACAAGGAAAAAAATATTCATTACAATTGTTAGAAGCTCATCCTTTTACTCTTCGCTCAAACAATAGCCCGTCTAGTCAAACGGTATAAGGTTTCTAAAGTACCGAGCCCGGCTTGTGTTGCAAGAAAGATACAAACGATACGACACTTTGTACAAGAATACAAACAATATCGCTGCACTTTAAGATAAAAGTACGATAATGTATTAGAAATATCCATTCTATGCTTGTAGTTTTGAAATATCGGCCGTGACTGAGTGCGCGTGGTCAGTTTGCCTCTAACAGTTTCGTGTTGATATCCATCACCAGTCACTACTTAATGATTAATGAACTGAACCAAACTTCCAAACTATTTGGGTGTAGCCGATACTAAAATTACGTAACTATCTCTAATTATTCACGTCGGATACATTTTAGTTCTCCTAACTGCTGACTGTATTCTATCCATCTTTAAATTGACAATGGGAATAGTTGATGTACTCTTTATACGAACCTACGGGGTTGAAGATTAAGTTGTCTTATATGTCCTTTAAGAGGTCAGAGGCCTTAGTACGAGTTTGTTTTACGTTTACAGTAATCGTAACGAGTAACGCGTTCGGTAATCTGATTGGTTGCTTCATTGGCGCGGGCCAATCAGAGTGCCGGACGCATACTCGTTTCGAATACTTTATACGTAAAACAAACTCGTACTAAGGCCTCTGAGTAGACATTAATTACTGACTGATTAACCTTACCAAAAATGTACTTCTTTTAAGTTTATTCGCCATTTATTCCAATAAAAATAAAACTTCACATTCATAGTTACCTATAATGGTTGACGATAACATAGTTTAATGTTATTATTATGAGCATGAATAAACATTATATCACTTACTCAGCCATGTACTCACATAGCATCCTTTACTTATGCTACACTCACAATACATTCAAATATCATCAATCACTCTCACTACTTACCTACATGGTATAATAAAATTATTAAGATTTCTGAGTATTGTGGCATTCTGAGTATTTTATTTTGTAAAACTAAACATTACTGAAATCTGTAAACAAATCATATTACAAGTATTTCCTTTACAAGCAATTATATTTAAATAACTTATGCCCACTTCTCCTATTCCCGAAGGATTCTTTTTGCCTGTCATAAGAACTTTCTCCTGACAATAACAAACACAACAAAAAAAGTCAAACGGTCCAGCCGCCCACGCGTGATAGCGTGACCAAGGGACACAGGGATTCATTTTTATACAATAATATATAGAATGAATATAGGTGTCGTAATTTAAAAATGCATAACAGTCATAATTTTCCACTTTGCATCGTTTAAATTGAAATGATAAGAAGTGAAAATGAAATGCGACTCAAAAATTGAGGTAAAACAGAATAGGTTAAGTTTCACGCTGCGGCAGCGGCAACGATCTTAAGCGTGTTTTTTTTTATTTGGCTGGCAGTGAAGCCGTGCAATGGCCTGGCGAACTGCTCGCGCTGCTATAATGAGCGTCGTGGAACGCAATAACTTTAAATACCCCGAGAATCCACGGCATTCTTCAGCCTTGGCACTCCATTGTAGAAAGGGCCTCGCATCCCCAGTGGAAAATGCTCAATGAGAACCTGTCTAGCGCCTGTCTCGTTTACCGTATAGAGGAATGTTCATCTCAGAGCCACCAAGCAACGGTCGGTATTGAAACCGAAGGATCTGAAATATTTTCAAAGTTATTAAAAAAAAAACTTTGCCGTATTCTAGGATTTTCGCCTGCGTCGTGGGTGCGTTTAGAAAGATACAATATCACATACACATGATACCCAGATCACGCAAAAAGTAACTCCGTGCGAACCCGCTACACGTTAAGCGGCAGTCGGCTGTCCAGCCACTGCGCCAACTGTGCAGTAAATTGCAGTGAATTGAAAAATAAATGTAACATTTAACATTATTTTTAAATTGATTGTTAAGATAACTGTGCCAAAGTAAAAATCCTTACCTTACTTACACGTGCAGCTGTAAAACACGCTTATATTTTAATTACTGTATTTATGCAAACACTATTCATAAGCCACCGCGCAGCGAAAGCCGTGACCTTTACAAGTGGTCTCATAGTTGACACACTGTAAGCATTTTCTGCGGTGTGAGTTTCATTTTCGTTATTTACTGGCTTATTTTTTAAAGTTGCAAGTTAAAAATAGAGGAAAATAAAAGAGTTTTTCGACAAATTGCCTCGGGCTGTCGTCTGATCGCTAGAGGGGCTCGACGCTGCGTAAAATGCAAACATTTTTCAGCCACATCGAGGGCGATGCCGCCATACCAACACGATATATGCATGTAAACAGATTAGATATTTTGATACAATCATTGACAGCACAGTAGTCTCTGGGTTACACTTACAATTTATTGAACTTTGTTTGACATAATTATTATTTACACAATGTGATACACCAATTTAACGACTACAAAAATCTACCCTAGTCTTAAGACTTAAAGTATATTTTAATAACCTAATTTGTAATGAAACTGAAAAATATAAGACACTATGTAATAAAACTGTAAACAACTGTAATTTAAACATTTTATCTCAACTGCTGCAGATAAAACAAACTAACCTGGCTAGTTGTTGATTCATCTTCCATTTGAATTACTATCTTAATTAAACTTAAATAAAAGTTATTATGCAAGTTTCATTCGTTACACACGCTTGAAAGTCTTCACCTCTTTCAGTGTGAAAATGAGCTACGAGCTGTA